CACTCTAAAATACAAAAGATGTTTTGTGGACTTTTTCAGTGTAACAAAATGTTTGTAAATTTCTAATTTCTAATATATAATTTGCAACTATCATTAACGTCTAGACTAAATTTGTAAAGATCTAAAAAAAATACTTTATAGATTCCTTTGTAAAACTTGATGTTTGATGTTTTGTGGATATATACAAGCATTTGGACTATAAATGTCAATATTAAATTTTACTGCTGTCTATAAAGAAAGCAGACAAAAAAGCAAGTACATGTTATGCCTATAAATGATTTTAACATTTATGTATATGTATGACTAGTAATTTCTATATAGAATTAGAACTTGATGGACCAAACAAATGAAATAGCAGAAGAGATTATTAAAATATTACTAAATTATAATTTATTATTTATATTTGATATTATTAAATAAAATTAATTAGGTATAGTACATTAATTTTTGAAGTAAAGTATTAGAATTTTATAGACTAAACTATAAGGTGCATTAAGGTAATATGGAAATTTAATCATTACAGTTTTGCAATGGTAAACTATATTTCTAATTGGAATTGCTCCACTGTAGTGAGACTGGCTAGATTCAAAGTTCCTTTCTTCTCTGTGCATTCCATAACAGATTGGCCTAATCAATAAGGCAGTTGTGCATCCCAATGAGAGACTAATTAGAATGACTCTGTTCATTTGTAATTACTAGAACCAGCTGCTATTCATAGAGGAAATAAATAGAAATCATGGAAAACTCAACAATCTTCTATTGTTTGTATATACTAGAATCAAATAAATAATATAATCGCTTATTCTATGTATCTACTGGGGCTTGATAATATGTTATGATCTTTATAAAAATTCTGATTTATTAGAAATATAAACTACTGATCTCTATGCTTCTGCCAAAAGCCATGGCTCAGCATCTGCCACAGAAATTTCCAAAGTTGGAGCAGGTATTGATTCAGCCACCTTCCTTTTGGATAGTTTATTAGGAAATCTGAGACTGGAAAAAAATATACCACCATCACCATCATTTAATGCATCATTGTGTATTGTGGAAAATTGGGACTATTCTCTTCATTGATAAAAATTACTATCTATATCTTGTCTTGTGTACAATTTATAAAGCCCAATCCTAATAGGATAAGCCTATGTAATATAAGAATAGTCACTTTAGTGGAAGACAATATTTACATAAATGTTCTTTTTAATTATTTTTATTTGCATATGCAGTTATAATAATATTATAAATGCAAATAATTGTGTATAACTTTTATTTATGGTATACATATAAGTTATTATTTATTTCTATAAATACTGAGTCTGTAATATTTTGGTTTAGTACTCTATGTTTCTGTAAATTGGATTTTTAATAGTAAACTACAAGTCCATAAGGCTACAAGCTGAAGGATGGTGGGGTGTCACAGTAACTACTTCTGTGTAACAAGTGCTATAAAACTAAGGAGTTTAAAATAACCATTTTATCTTGCTCACAATGCTGCAGATCAGGAATTTGGAGAAAGCTCATCTGTTTGTTCTTGCTTAGGTCTTCTGTGAAGTTGTAATCAAGTCTTAGTGGAGGCCACATTCTTGCGAAGGTTCAATTGGACTAAATCTCCAAAATGGCTCATTCACATGGCCAGAAGTTCATGCTGGTTGTTGGCCATGAGCAAATCTGGGGCCCTTCATAGGAGTGTCTACATGAGGTCTCACCATGTGTCTTGGGCTTTGCACCATGGTGGCTTTTCAATAGTCAAACTTTCTATAAGGCAGCTTTGAGCTCCAGCAAGTTTTCCAGTGAACAAAGTGAGAACCTATTGCATTTTCTAACCAAGATTTTAAAATTATCTAGTGCAAATTCCACAATACTCTAATGGTTAAGAAGTCACGAGTTCATTCAGACTCAAGAAGAGTAGGTATTGACCTTACCTCTCAATGAGAAGAGTCAAAGACAAAGGCTTTGTGCCTATTTGTTTTTTAACTGTCACATGGAAAAAAGAATATTTAAGAACACAATAATTTTGCAGAATTTACATTTAGAGTAGAGCTTATATATTCACTTTTAAATATCAATATTTAGAAAGAAATGAAGTTTAAACGACAATATTTAGAAAGAAATAGCATTTAGCAACAGTAATGATCTTGCAATGACTTTGTCGAACATGCCTCAAAAATAGATGAAAACGTTAGAAAAAAATCAGTTTAAATTGGAATTTATGTGATATTTGGAAACCACCATATCTGGGCATGAAATGATCGAACTTATCAACTTATTATTAAAACAGCCAAATATAGTACAGTGATTAAGCAAGATCACCAAAATCAGAGAATGACTTTTTTCCCTTGAAACTTCAAACTTCGAAAAAAGAAATATGAAAGATATCCGCAAGATAAAAAAAAGGTGAATTGACATTGATATTGGATAAAACAGCTGGGTAAGAATAGGAAAAAAGAAAATATCAAATTTAGTCAGCCCAGTTCTCCTTTAGGAGGAAAAGATAAGAGAAACATCATTGTTATCTTTTCGGGAATTTCAAAAAATCTGTAGGAAGGCATAAATAATTCTTTATTGTCTCACTCTAAGGAAAAGTTATAAAATCTAAATATTTGTTTAATGTTTTTATTGATTTCCTTCAAAGTTCCAATTCTTATTTTGGGGATATAGTGAACTATAAGATTTATAGGTATTAAGAAGCCTTTGTATATGAAACATATCCTTTCTAATGGTTTATGATCATAACTATATGCTATCAATCTTAGTGTTTTAGGACTGTGACCGTTATAGTCAATATTCAAAACTCGATATCAATAAATTTGAAAAATATTTTATTCATAGTATTGCTAATTATGCCTATATATAATGATATTCCTTGAACTATATTATAATATTAGGCAAATGCAGTTATTTCTTTCTGAAGAAAAATCTCATCATTTATTTTCTACCACTTAAAATCCTTCCTCCTTGATAAAATGTTCATGTTCCTTAAAAAAAAAACCCTCATAAAAATCTCTATGATTTTACCCCACCCAGCCTTACATCACAGTTTACAGGAAATTTTGTGGTTTTGCATGTTTCTGGCTTTTGAACAGTTTCATCTGGTGCTTTTCTTCGTGTTCCTTCTCTGAATAATCTTTATTTGTTGCTGAGGTCATAAATTACCCTTTGTATCATTCTTAAATTATGTTTTTACCCTTTAAGGTACGGGGAAGTGCCACTTCAAATTGTTCCCATGACAACTTGTACAAGTGCCCATGGTAACACCATGCTTTTCTAAACCATACTAGCTTCGTTAAAATAGGAAAACATATATCGGAGCTCTGACACATGCAGCTAGTATAAAATAGCTAGTCATTTCCAATGTGTGTTTGATTTTTACTGTCTTTGGAATGCCATATTTTAGAATAACTCCTCTGGAAATGTCATGGTCAATATTCTAAGTCCTCGCTTGTGCTCATCTGGATAAATAATACACTTATGAGTCCTTTCATTTTATATTGTGTGTACATTGCATGCTTACTTACATAGTTTCCAAAAATGTAATATATGTTGTTTTCTTTTACAACATATATTACATTTCATTTCATCATATACATAAATGCATGTCATGTTCTCACTTATCATTGTACGTCTTATTCACCAGAGTACCACCCAAAGTGACTAGTGGAATACCTTGCACTTGGTACTCAATGAATATTTGTTGAACTGAATCAAATAGAATTGAATATGGGTCAGTCATCAGGATTTATAAGATCACTCTTTCATCCAGAGCAAGTTAAGTTACAGAGTCACAGATTCATCCAGATTGTCCTCATAGTGGAATGAAGAAGAGAAGATAATGTGTTTTTTTAAGATAATGATATTTTTATGGAATTGCAGATTTTTATTTTGTTTTGTTTTGTTCTAGTTGTCTTGTAGTCAGGCAATTTTTCACCCAGAAGAATGTTTAGAGCTTTTAATCTCAGTCTATTCTTTATTGTTTTCATCTTCTTCTGCTTGGCAACATGCACATTATGTAGTCCTTTGTCATGGTAATCAAATCTCCAGTTGCCATTAACAGTTATGCAGCTCAGAGCAGCAGAATGATAGACCCACAGAAGAGTCAACTACATGGAAAGGCTTTAAACAAGAAGCTCTGAAACGAAGTGCTCTGCCTGGAAGAATGAATTATTTCAGGAAAGGCAATGGTCTAGAACAGCTTGTAAACATTATTCTATATATAAAATTTATTCTTCAAACTTTGAAGACTTAATATAAAGACTCACTAGTGAAAAATCTTCATTTTCTGTGATATTTAAATACTATCTTTAAATATGCCAGAGCTATCACATGTTAATATTCCAGAATAAATTACTATTTTTTCAAGTTCAGTAAATGTATAAGGCAGCATAGTAAAATGATTTCACTTTGTTCACAACTCCCGATGGCTCACCCATTAGTTATTGTAATATTGTCAGGGGTTTTCTTCAGTGTTTTGGTAAATGAATTGTATTATTCATTTATTTTTCATTCTGTATTTATAGACTAAGAAAATAATGATATAAATTAAATATATGTATATCTTCTTTTGCAAACAAGTGTTTCCATATCGAAGTACAGTTTGGTAGTTAACCAATTATTTATTCTTTGTGATGTCATTACAATACATTATTAATATTATTTATACATTACGTGATTTAATAGCAAATATGTAAATTGCCATATGATGTGCATATAGCTCACTGGGCGAATACCATTCATTTAAAAAAACTTAATTTTGACATAAATTTGCTAAAGCTTTTTACACTCCTTTATCAAATATACTGCAAATTTCCTTTTAAAAAGATTTTAGCGTTATAAATTCTGGTCATTAACAAGTTGTGTGAAGTAATGCATGCCACTTAGTTATTTTTCTGTGATAGTTGGTGTAAAATATAGAAATTTAATGAACGTTAAGAAATATTGGTTAAGGCGGAGGGCTCTCTGGCAGCCGCGCCTGCAGTCCACTGCTCCGTGCGTGATGCTACGCCATGAGCGGTATCCCGCTGAAGTGGGGCGGATGCTCCGCCACCCATCCTGCCACCGCCGAGATCTAGCCCATCACCGACCAAGTGAAGTCCCAGCTGGAGAAGGCAAACAGGAAGTACTCCGTTTTTAAGGCTGTGGAATTCAAGAGCCAGCTGGTCGCGGAGACTAACTACTTCATCAAGGTTCAAGTTGATGATGATGACGTCATACACATTCGAGTGTTTGAGAGTCTCCCTCATGCAAACGTGCCCTTGGCCTTGCATGACTATCTGACGGACAAGAGCAGGCGTGACGAGCTGACGTATTTCTAGTTCCCGATCTTGAACCGAGCCTATCATCCGTGCAGTTCTCTGTCCTCTGCAGTCACACATCTGGGGTCATAAATTCACGTCGTCTCTATGTTGTGCCACTGGGGATGGAGGGACGCCACGCAGCCCTCTGTGTCTCTGTACGACTTTTCTAGTGTTGGTTTTCCTCTCAATCAATGATCTTAACCAAATCTCTTTCAAAAAGGTTTATATTATCTCTGAAGACATATGTTTTTAAGTCTTTGCAAAAATAAAAATAAATAAAATTAACCTTAGACATCTATTTTGACATTTTATTATTCTGTTTTTTAAAATTTATTTTTAAACTTATGAATAATAATTTAAAAATTAGAAATTACGTGAAAGCCAAGGCTTGTTTATACTGGACTAAAAAACTGTGGAATTGAAGACAGAGAAAGTACTATAAAATTGCAATACTGAGGCTCAAATCTGACTCTTAATTAATAAGAGACTAGAAATTAAGAATTTGGTAGGAGCTGACTAATGTGATACTGACATGATGAATAGAATGCCAGATTTTATCCCCTTCTTGAGTAACTACTTCTCAAAGGCAATACTTGCCACTGGGAACTTTGTAGCAATATTTGGACCAACAGAAGAAATAGAACAGATTCAATGGGTGACCTGGAATTAATCTATTTACCAGTTGCCAATAGCAAAATAATATCTGGTGTTGTGGAAATTTACTGGAAGTGGAGAATATACTTTCAGTGTAGGAAAGGTCTACATAGAATTCTGCGAAATTGGCTTCCAATTAATCATAATAATATTATGATTAATTCATAATATTTATAGTAGATATTGTATAGAAATTTTCTTTATATATTTGAATATCCAACTTTGTACGATAGTCTGGGAGTGATGAGAAATAAAAAGTTGTGTTATTTGGAAAGTGATATTGGTCTTCCAAATCAAAGATATGTCCTCTACAACATAGCTCTGTAAGTTTTCCTTACAGAAATAAATCTTAAGGTGGGGAGTAGTAGTGTCTAAATTTACGTGAAGCAGGAGAAGGGCAAAATGAGAACATGTTATGTGCACAGAAAAGAGATAAATAAATAAAATCAATAGAAGCGGAAAAAGCATTTGAAAAAATTCATAATAAAAATGCTCAACAAAGTATAAAAGGAATTTATTTCAATACAATAAAGGCCATATGTGAAAAGCCCACAGAAAACTTTATACTTGATGGTAAAAAACTGAAAGCTTTTCCTCCAAGGTCAGGAAGAAAGCAGGAATACCCACTCATACTACTTTTATCCAACATATTACTGGAAATTCTAGCCAGAACAATTAAGCAAGATGAAGAAATAAAAGGCATTCAATTCGGAAAAGAAGTAAAATTATCTCTTGCAAATGATATAATCTTAAATGTAGAATTCCATTTATAATAGCACCAAAAAAAAAAAAAGATCCAATATTTAGGAATTAACCAAGAAAGTGAATGATGTACACTAAAAACTACAAAACACTAATGATAGAAATTAAAGATACAAATAAATGGAAAGACATTCTATGTTCATGGATTGAAAGATTTAATATTGTTAAAATATCCATAGTACTCAAAGCAACCTACAGGTTCAATGTATCTACTATAAAATTTTCATCGGCACTTTTTACAGAAATAGAAAAAAGCAATTGGAAGACATTAGTTATTGTACTTTTCATACACTGAATGACAGCAGCCAAGAGATTGGCTTCCAGGAAGAAGACAGCTAGACTCATAAAGCAGAGAACTCGACTGTACTTGCTGGTGTTTGGAGGCTCCTTGACAGAGAATCTCTCACTCTCATCACCTTAACCTGGAAGTACTTTGGGATTTCCTCTGAAAGCAAACTTTTAGACAACCTTTTATTTTTGACTTTTGAATACGAAGTAACTTAAATGACAGCAAAAATCACCAGTATTTCAGAAAGTTCTCTAACAAGAAAAAAAAAAAAAACAAGAAAATAACTACCACAACAAAACAAATGTGAAGGGAACAGAGACACTGCTGCGAGCAAAAAATATAGCATTTTGTTCAGTATTGTACAGTATTTATATAGTAATAATAATGTAAATACATACTAATGATTAATTAAAATTGGAATGCAATTACGAATTACAGGGACAAGTAAATGATGAACTGAAACAGTAATGATCTCCATTTACCACAACATGATGGTAATAAATAAGGTCTAAAATTTCTAAATTGAAAAATTTTTAAATAGGAGTTTATTGTTTAGAAACTTGGAACCCACAAGAAACCAGTAAAAATTAGAAAAATTTTATTCTGAGAGTAAGACTAAGTGGCAAACACTTGTTAGTACTGTGATGTTCACTAATAACTTTTTAGTATTATTTATTCATTATGTTAGATTCATTCATCCTGTTGATCAAAATATAGACTTATTTTTTCTAATACAATATTTCATAAATTGAGTTACCTAATGTATGACTAGCATTATAGTTAGAAAAAATATGAAATAGAAATTGTTATTGATATTTACCAATAAGATAACATTATCAAAGTCACAAAAGCTGTAACTGTTTTCATATAATTTTTGATTCTAGCAGATCACACTGATCACACTCCAGACTTGTCTTTCAGTGGTGGGATGTGGTAGGGAGAAGAGGAGAGAAAAAAGTGAAAATTTAATGGATATGCACCCTTTGTCAAAATGAGCAGCTCATCTTGTTATGGAAAGGATCATTAATATTATTAACATAATTCTAAGGGACCTTTCCAAAAGTTTTCCTTACAATTGATGAGCTGTCATGGTAGTGTAATAAAGATTAAAAAGTCACAAACTGAAGATGAAAACCTTTTCTGTTTGAATAAAATGTCAAAGAGCAGAGAGGTTTTTAACCTCCTTATGTGTCCCTGGTTCAGTTCAGGTTTTATCTTTAATATTTTCTTGGTTATCTCTTACTCAGCCTTATTTGGGGTAGAAAAGTTAAGGAGAATAAATGTTTTTTTTAAAGACTAGCTTTTTAAAAATTTGTTCAAAGCATAAGAAATAGTTAGGCACACCAGTGAGATTCTGCTGAGCAAAAATATAACCATTAATTTCCTGAAATGTCTGATACTTACCTGATACTACTCCCTTATTTTTCATTTTGAAATGAGTGTCTGTACAGAATAGTATAATAAATTTAGGCAAAGTAATATTTATCTATAGGAACTAACCTTAAACGAAGTAATAGTCTTTCAGCGATGAAGAGAATCTCAGTTTTCATGAAGATCATTTTAAGAGCAGATCATCGGTTTTTTTGTTGTTGTTTTGTTTTGTTTTTGTATAATGTCTTTGTCCTAGAAAATGCATCCAGCCCTTCTGTGGACTCTCTGCGGATGGAGCTGATTACTTTAGGCAGCTTTGCATTCGTTTGTAATGTAGCTTTAATAGTTAGACTTTTTTTTTTTTTTAAATCTAAGGACATGAGTATTATTGATTATGCCCTCTCTTCTTACTTTCGTCTCTGATGAAATATAGATTAAGTGGATTTCATCATTCAAATGATAGTTTCTCAAAAATTCGAAAAGGGTTATTTGGCCCTTCTAAAATATTCCATGTTAACTTTACCCAATTCTTTCAATCATTTATTTGTGAAATAATTTTTTAAAATAGCTTAATATACTGTATATATTCCACAGCAAGAAACCTAGTTTATCAATGTTCATTTCAAACGTAGTATCCAAAACTGAATAATCCTGTTTCAACTAGCTTCAAAATTACCATTGAATGTGCTAGACATGTTTCAACTTTTAACCCTTAGTGACATATTTATATTTCAACTATTAGATACTATGATTGTGTTAGATATTTATCAAAATTAATCTCTAGAATTTTTAATAAAGAATTTAAATTTAATTTCAAATTTTCAACTTTTATTTTCTACATTGTAATACTGTGTTAGATGATTTTAGCTTCTGTTTTATGTGATTTTTTTCAAAAGTCTTAAAGGTTTTTGAAAAGGATTAACATTAGTCTGTACTGGTAAGTATTTCCACTCTCTGCCCTGAATGTACTTGATAATATGAATACTATGGTACTGGTGATGATGATGAACATTGTTTTTTTGATGATCTCTCTTATTCTAGATGTTGTTCTCTTAGTAAAGTCAAGTTCCACTATGTATTCCTAGACATTTATCCTCTGATAAAAAAATTAATTGCTTACCAAATAAATGAAGAGATATATAAATGAATGAATGAAATTATCTGGTCAATCTGGCACCAAATTGTCTTAATCGTTTATAAATAAGCTTTTATTTAATTTATTTTCTATTTGAGTTAAGATTACTTTTCTTATTGTACACTTGAATTCAATATGATATTTATTAAGCAACTTGACTAATACTTGAGTTGTCCAATAGCATACTTATTTAAGCATAAATACATCCTTAGGAATATGGACTCAGACAATATGTTAAAACTCATAACTTGGTTAGGTCCATCAGTAAATCATGTTGGGGAAGTAGAGAATATAAAGACATGCAAACAGAAGCAGGTTTAATAATGCCATATGTCTTACGGGACAATTTCTTAACTTTTCCAGCTTCTAAAGACTGTCATTTCTTCGCTTGTGACTCCTTTTCTCCAGCAAGGTACTGTCTCTTTATCCCCATCTTGGTCCTCATGGCTCTTTCTGACCACAGCTGGGAAAGGGTCTCCTCTTTCAATGATTTATGTGGTCAGATTGGATCCACCTGGATAACCCAGGATGATCTCCCCACCTCAAAATTCTTAACTGAAAGCCCATCTGTAAAGTCATTTGTATAGATAAGGTAACATAGTCACAATTTCCCAGGACTAGGGTACAGATAACTTCAGAAAGTTCATTATTGTTTCTACTATGTATAATATCCAGCATAGTCTTTTTTTTTTTCCATTTAATATTTCATTCTTTTTAGGGCAATAATCATGATGAGAAATTCATATTTTCTTTAAATTGCTAATAAGCAAATCACATAATCTTAATGTTTAGCAGGTGGTATATAAG